GCCTTTTTCTGCTTAGCAACAGCAGAAAAGGATCATTCAAGCATATTCTTTGACTTTTTTATATTAATGCTACAACTGCAGAATGCCTAGCTCATTTCACACCTTCCATTTACTTCCTTTTGTCTGTATACAAGGTAAAATTACTTCTTAAGAAGAACATGGTCAATTACAAAGAGATGTTAGTAGAGAAAAACTCCTAATACAGAAATTTAGAATGGGCTTTCCTGTGTGAATTTGTTGTATAAAACCCATAGCATCCACCATCTCATCTCAGATCTGTATCCTACCCATGCGCATGAATAAAGGACTCCGCTCAGCCACACCTAACCTGAGTGAAGAGCTTTCTTCAACAGGCTCCAGCCACTGAAGAAGGCTGGGATGAGTCTGTGGAGGAGTTGTGATCCCCTGCTACACAGCACACAGCACAGCAGAGGGATCATCACATCACATGGAGCATCACATCAAGGATCTCAAGACAGGCAGATCCAGGACAATCAGCCCAACACAAAGCTGTATGGCTTAGTTAAAAAAAAAGTGAGGGGAACAAGCCACCACAATCAGAATAACCTAATTGAAGAGCCAAGCTTTTACCTCACTTCTTCAGTCACCATCATACTGGCCAGCTAAACGTCTTACTTTTTAAACAAACATTTGGGGGTCACAAAGACTCCAAAAAGACAAGTACTCACAGTTTCTCACTTGTTCTTGACTTCCAGGTCTGTAGTTAGTCCTGTCTGAAATCTCACACAACACCTCAGCCTTCTCAGAGAATTTCCACCTATAACAGCTAACTCAACCAACTGGCTTTTTAAATGTTCACTTGACCAATCACCTTCCTGAGTCTGATCAGGTAGCTGAGGGCAGCAGGTCATTCCTCAAAGGCTTCTGGGTGATGTGGTACAGACAAAGTGGCCATTTTGTCTGGACTGGCTGTGCCTCACAGAGTGAAATCCTTTTTTGAACACCCGGAAAGATCGCGTCTGGAGACAAAGTGCTAGGGTTCCCCGATTTTCTCATCCCAGAGAAACATAGAGGGGGATCAATGATGATGACGGCCATTCTGATGAAAACTGGGGTCCCCCAGAAAGGACAGGAAACGCACACAGTGGGGTGTATTAGCTGAAAATCTCGTCCTTTAAAGCTTCTGTTATCCAGTTTTCTAAAAGTTGCAATACAGACTTTGATCAGCCTGGAGTCTTGGAGAAAGAGTAATACAAAATGAGAAGCAGATCACAGTTACCAGCAGGGCTGGGGGAAGTTCTTTCAAAGGTCTCTCGCTTGTAATCCACAGTGAAAAGTACTGGTTTAAGGGATGACGTTTGGAAATAAATGAGCAGTCAGGGGAACGTGTTTTCAGAGGTCAGTTCATAGGTGAGCAGAGAGGAGGTGTGAGGCCCCTGCGTGTGTCGGGAAGAAAGGACACACTGGGGAGTCAGGCAGTCTTCGGGGCCTGCCCTGCCCGGGCCTGCCCTGCTCAAATACTGATCTTTAAAGCTGCAGGATCACAACAGGTGTGCTACCTCTAACCAAGAGGCAGAAAAGTGAGTCTTTTCTAAATATAATCTACCACTGCACCTGAGCACATGTACACCACTGCCGGTCACAATAGCTGATTGCTTTATGAAATGATTTTAACTTCTTGCTCATTTTAAAAGCAGTGGAATTACTAAGAGGGCATTCAGCCCTTCTAGTCTAGTTCTCAGTAGTTAATAGATTCCAGGATCTCACCCAGCTGTGTTTCAAAAGAAACCAGGGTGTCAACCGGGCTGGGTAGCTACAGTAGTTCCAAACCCCCACCACCCTCTGTGTAAAGATGTGCCTCCAGTTCTCAGCTGCAGACACCGTTCCCTGTGTCGATCTAACTGCTGTGCCTGTCACGGGTGAGCACTGAAGGTACGTCTTGTGTGAATGATTTCCCTCTGTGGTTAGCCTGAGATCTCTCCTCTGAGTCGCAGACTCAAAGGAGCAGGATTAAATCCACTGAGATTCCACGAGCGGAACCCTGATCCGGGAAAATCCGGGGTGACCAGAGCAGCACCAGTGCTCTAGGACAACAAAGCGAAGGATTAGTGATCCAGGTGTTAGGAGTCCAAGTGAGGAAGTAGAAGGATTCTATGCAGACGAGAGAGAGAGTCCAATCCAAATCGTGGTCAAAGAGCAAACTAAGTCCAAAAAGCCCAAAGAGGTCGTTTGAAAGGGTTTTCCAAAAAGGGGCGAGGTAGGAGCTCTCGAGGAGAGAAATCAACACTGGGCACAGGACAAACTGAGCTGTGGGTTTAAGTAAGCAGTGAGCTGGCGAAGAGCTGATGGAGATGATTCGCTCACACGTGCTGCGGGGTCTGGTGGAATGAGGTGGCTGCTGAATCTGTTTAACCTGATTTCGACAGGTGGAGGACGTGGCACCAGGGAGCTTCGTTTCAGTTTCGGCCTCCTGCTGTCGCTGGGAGTCACTCCTGATTCAAACGTTCCGCCTTTTCGGACAAAAGCCCTGCTGGTGACTGAGCCGAGCTGCTGTGGACTCCTCTGGGGTGTGCGTGTCAGGGCCCGAAGCCGCTGAACGTGTCGGTACGGACCCAGAGGCAGGGCAGAGCACAGCCTCTGAATTCAGGAAGTGCCAAGATCGGGCTTGGGAAGAACACATTGTAAACAGCTACAAGAACACAGGAACAGCTGCAGGCGAGTGGATCTATTCAGCCCTGCGAACGGGAGTCTATGTGGGCTCTGATCACACAACATCTGTAAGTATAATCAGTGCACTGTTTTCAGAAATACAGTCGCTGTCTTGAAGACGGTGCCAGTTCTGTGACTCTGAAACTCCGCAGCGCTGGAATGCGAAAGGCGAAGTGACACCGGACATCACCTGACATCCAGGTTTTATACAGGGGTGACAAGCTGCTGTCAGGACCTGAGATTTAACTCCAAATAACACTAATGAGGGTAGCACAATGGTACACTGCAAAGGAACAGGTAAAGGTTAAAGTAGTTCGAGTAGGGAGCTGCGTCAGCATGCGTAGACTGCAAAGGAACAGGTAAAGGTTTATAACACACTCAAAGGAAAAGAAAAGAGACATCACGTTTTGGCTATGGAGTCTTCTTCAGGTGCGGGTGTGTGACACCTGAAGAAGGCTCCACGGCCGAAACGTTGTGTCTTCTTGTTTTACCTTTCAGTATTGGATAAACCTTTAACTGTGACTTTGCAACCTTGCAACCTGCAACCTAAGCGTGCTCACACAGCTTCCTACTTGAACTTCAGTGGTACACTGGTTGCCTTGCAGTGCTTGGGGGCCTGGGTCCAATTCCAGACCTGGGAGACTATTTACAGTACGTGGCTTGTGTTATCTAACCATGTCTGCATGGATTTCCTCCATTGGTCAACTTATCTCGACTAATAACGCTTAAAGCCCTCCTCTCCAACTACAAATTATCAATGCTAAAGACTTCCCCCTGTACCCTCTCCCAAATGCATCAATATTCACCCCCACAATGCACGGCAAGGGCTTGCTCTCTGCACACACCATCAACCTGGAAGGTGTTCCTTATGAGATATCCATCTAAATTGCATCTAAACAGTCATTTCCCAGCGCAGCACTCAGTCTATCAAGAAATCTCACCATTTAATGCCAAGATGAAGACATTTTTCACAGTAATTAAAAACATCAACAGTTTGATAAAATCTGACTGCCTCTTGGGATTATTATTCAAGTGCGCACTAAAATAAAATCTAATGAATTCAATTAAAGGCTTCCATATTTCCACGAGCAGTACGACACGCCTGAGAGTCTGCTGCTGGTGTCGGGAGATGTCACTGCACTCTGAAATTACCGGCCGTGGTATCTGTGCCATCCTGTGAATTCATCAGCAGTGCACGGCGCAATGTGACTGTCAGTGAAGATCTGTGCTCTTCAACCCCACCGGCTGGAACTAGTAAGGGAGCTCCCTCTCTGGACAATCCAAATCCCAAACCCCTATGACCGGAGATCCTCAGGGATCGAGCCTCGATCCCCCGTGAACGAGGCAGAGGAGATCTCCTGGCGCCCCCAGCGACTGCGCTGATCTTTCAGGATCTGTCTTGACTGGCGATCCTCACTGTCATGTCGGATCACTTCTGATAGATGGAGACTTGGGGTGCAGGGTGGTGAGGGCCTGACCCCTCTGTTATTGTGGACTTGAGTGATACATGAGTTACCTGCTTGGCTGTAGCAGTTGAAGCAGGTGTGCGATCTCTCTTCAAATATTTAATAAAAATTGCATCCTGGGGAGAAACAGTCCACACAAAATGTCTTTTTATTTGGTCTTTTGGCAATTCCAGTAGATGAAAGGATGTAGTAACATAACAGTGAATTAATTTGATGTTACAAATTCCTTCCTTCAATGTCCATCTTATGTGTTTGAAGTTACATTGTAAGGATTAGTAGATGTAATAATTATAATAATAATTGCTTACACTTATATAGCGCTTTTCTGGACACTCCACTCAAAGCGCTTTACAAGTAATGGGGACTCCCCTCCACCACCACCAATCTTGATCACCTGTCTTGATCCATAATGGAATTCAACGTGGGAATGGCATGGCAGCTAAACTGAGACTCTAATTAGTCTCAAAACTCTATAGAGGACAAGATCTCTCTCCTCCTGGAGCTGGAGAGTCAGAGCTGAGCTGAGGAGCTCTCTCCTCCTGGAGCTGGAGAGTCAGGGTTGAGGTAAGGAGCTCTCTGTTCTCCTGGACCCGGAGAGTCAGAGCTAAACTAAGTTCAACTGAACTAAATTGAAGTGAATTTGATTTGATTTGATGTGATTCCATTCCATTCAAAGTCAATTCACTTCATTGCAAAGAACAATATTGGCTTTACAGATCAGTTACCATCTTGCCAAAGCACAGGAACAGACAAGAAAGAGCCAGCTGCAACAAGTAATTAACAGCAACACCACACAGAATGATGTGTGTGTATATGTGTAACCTCTAAGGCTTTTGCTGAGAAGGTACTCTTACTGATGAAAAAATAAGTTTGTTTTGGAAGACATATTACTTGTAGATGCTGCAGCAATTTCCCTCTTCAGATGTTTAAAACATCACTCAGGATCATTACTGTTATCGTCTTCTTGACTGGTGCCAGCGATCCCCACTGACACAAAGGCCACGACCCCTGCCTGCTGCTCCTGATCCCGCAGTCCAGACTGGATCAGCACACACGGGTATCCTGATTGCTCCTAGCACCATTTCCCCGCAGTACGCTGTTGGAGATGTATTCATTAGCTAACTAATTCATTAATTATCATGTTCTCTTGACTTGTGCCATCTCGCAGTTTTCAAACACTGCCTGCTCTGCCTACACAGTCTCCCTTTGAAGAGAGGAGCCCTCTGCCTGATCGCCTGGCGGTAGTGAAGCAGAGGCACGACTCTCCTTTAGAAACTGTTTTAGGGTAATTAGCTGAAATGATTCTCAACATCGTGTCCACTGGCTCAGGAGGCCAGGAGAGATGCTGTATGTGTTGCTCTGCTGCGTTGGGCAGGGAGGTAGTGAGCACTGCTGTGACAGGCCCATGCAGTGTGTGCAGGGTGGTGAGACTCCAGTGACCGTGGAGCAGTCCTGTCTGCCGCAGGACAGGAGGGGTGTGTGTCAGCCTCGCAGGGCATGCAAGCATTGTGCTGCTCCCACTGGGAATTCAGTGGGTTTGGGGTGTCAGACCCACACTGCTCCCACTGGGAACTGACTGGGAAGGGTGTCAGACCCACACTGCTCC